GACTCTGACTCAAAAAAAAAAAAAAAGAAAAAAGAAAAAAGAAAACTGAAGACAAGAAAACTGAAGCCCACGGAGGTTACATAATTGGTATTAGGCCATACAGATAGAAAGAAGCATAGCTATAAATCAAAGATGGATTCTTTGGAACTCTAAAACTTAATTTTATTAAAAAAATCTTTAAAATGTACTCCTTTGAAAAGCTTCACCACTGCGAGTTTGTAATAGAAAATGTTAATATCTGGTAAGAAGTTTAATACATTAATTATTAATAGCTAGTATTTATTGAGTAGCTACTATATAATAGGCATATACTGAATTACTTTAGATAGATTATCTCATTTGATTTATTAGCAAGAGTATAAAGAAATATAAATTATTTTTATACCTATTTTACAGATAAAGTAAACTTAGGTTTAGAAGGTTGAGCGAAGTCAAAAAGATAGTACTTTCTAGGGCCAAAATCGAAAAGTAGTTCCTATGACTGCAAAGTCTGAGCTCTTCAATTTAGTTCTGTGTCACTAAATAATAGTTTTCTGAATCACCAAAAGTCCAAAGAATAAGAAAATGGGATTTTTAAAACTTGATGCCATCCAAAGACTGCATCGTGTCAAAAATTTAGAATCTCTTTAAAATACTTTCATCTATTCATTTGTTGGAATAGAGTACTGACACTGATTTTACTGAAAAAGTGAGCAACAGAATGAAAGTATAGATGCTGTCATGCCAGACAGCATTCCACATCTTATGATCATTACCCAGAGTCGAATGATCATTACTGAAGCAGAAATATTCCAAAAGAGCATCTGTTTGAATAATTCACTCTCTTCATTAAATTTTCTAAAAACTTACAAGTTGTGCCATTTATTAAGTTTGTTTAAATAAATACCTGTTTGCAGTAGAACCAGTTTCAAAGCAGAAATTCAATGCCTAATATTTATTCTAGTTTCAACCACTTACTAGTTCTGTACAACGAGACAAGTCATGCAAACCTTTCTGAGTTTCTAGTTCATCATTTTCATATGGGGACAATAACATTACTACTATAATGTTTTGCATATTTTAAAATATAAGTATCAAATAAGAAAATATACATGATAACACTTGTAAGGGTGTTAAACTTTAGATACTAACACTGTGTTACTGACTCACTACTGTTGGAATATGTAGTTAGAAGGTTTGTTCTGGCACAAATTTATGAGACAGCTGGTGAGAACTAAGGATGCCATTTGGACTAAGAAATAGAACAAAGCTAATTGGCTACATGGGAACTCAACCCATGTCCTTAGCCTCATTAACTCTGTGCTTTACTAACTAAGCACACTATTACTCACTTAGTCTATCTTGAATGAGTCTGGCCTTTGGTTGGGCATTCCCCCTAGAATGATAATAAAGATGAATGAAACATGGTGTCTGCCCTCAAAGAGTGAACAGTCTAGCAAGGAAAGGCAGACAGATGAGTAAATTAGTAGTTAACATACTTTATAACAAATCAGTGCTACAATAGAGATTTATAAAAGTGCTTAGAAGGCACAGATAAGAGCATTGCCAGTACTGACCAGGGAAGTATGGCATTCCCACGTTGTAACAGAATTTGTTGAGCCTAAAATTTTACTTCTTAAATCACTTACATGCAGTTAAATCCTAGAGTTAAAAATTAGTCAGTGTAATTCCTCATTTGGAAAATTTAAAGATACTTTTTTATTTTTTCTACTTAATGAATATTTATTATCTCACAGTTTCTGTGGGTCAGAAATTTGAGAATAGCTTAGCTGGGTTTTTTTTTTTTTTTTTTTTTTTTGACCTTAGGGTTTCTCATATTTCTCACAGGGTGTTTCATTCAGCACGTCAGCAGTGGCTGCAGTCATTTGAAAGCCTGAACACAGTTAGAGGGTCAGCTTCCAAAATGGCTCATTCACATGATTGTTGGCAGGAGGTCTCAGTTCCTGTCTGGCCATTGACAGGAGTCCTTAGTTCCTTGCCATGTGGGCTTCCCCCTAGGCTGCTTGAGTGTCCTCATGACATGGCAACTAACTCCCCCTAGAGTGAGCAAATCAAGAAAAAGAGGGCAAAGGGGATGCTGCAGTGCCTCATGTGACCTTGGCTTCAAAATTACACACTGTCAATTCTACTCAAAGGTACAATTTTTAAGTGACCTATCATTTAACTGGAAGCTTTAGTTTAAGAAGAGAACTGAATGTGTGTTTTACTATCATGTAATCTACAGTAGGCAAATCTTCCCATAATGTGTTAGTTCCCAAAACGTGAACAAATATTCCTAAACATTTATTCCCCTACACATTATTCACTTATACAGAGTTAAAACACCAACTTGCTATTTTAGGTGGAACATGTTTTTCTCCTCAATTTTATTAACAAGTAATCAATGTTGGCAATTCATTTGCACAGGTACAGAAAACGAGTGACTGGTCAGAGCTGTGGTTTTTCTTTTCTTTTTTGTTTTGTTTTTATATTGAGGTATAATGATTGGTTACCATTTCCCCAAAATAATGAGTGAGATCTCATAGATATATGAAAATACAGTATGTGCACATGGGATTGGTTTATGCTTTTTCAAGAATTTTTCTTTTGCTTAAAGTCAAGTACACAGACAGTAACAGAATTTTACAAGAATGACCCTGTTACTTGATCCTTTTGGTTTAGACAGGCTTCACTAACTGTACTAAAAAATAACCAGTGACCCAGATGCCTTGCTTTACTTCTACTTGAGTCATAAATGAGACAAATGATCTGGGCTAGCTTATGTTTTGGGATATGAGAGGTGAATTGTACCTTAGAGGTTTTATTAATTCTGAAATTACTGTTGAAATATTTGGAGGAAGAATGATCTTATTATTTAATCAATCAATCTGTAAGTTTGGAGTCATGTACCTGTGGAGTGGCAAGTATATTAGTGGAAATTACTGATTTTCTATCCTGTATTGTTTAATGTTATTAATTTGAGAGTTTGAAAAGCTCTTTGCAGAAACAGAATGCATCTATTTGATAAGAATGCATAGGATTCCAACTTTTTTGTGGTACCCATATCATTATAATTATACATTATTCAAATCAGGTACTCAGCAAGAGAAAACTGCCCATCAAAATCCAAGGAAGTTCTGTTAGGGATTTTGGAGTCCCCACAGGTCAATAAAGTCATAAAGCTCTAACAGTAACATATTTTATTAGTAGCCAGTGTCCCTCAGATGCATGATTCCTGCCACTTCCAGAGATGTGCACAATTTCCATTTTGAAGTATATGACCAGAATTCTGATTATTAGAGGTTAGCAGTGTGCTCATCAGAACACTCATACTGACGCTGGAACATTCATGAAACGTTATTTCTTCTTACCAGTCAAGACCGATGAACACCACCCCTGCTGTTATTTATTTCCTCCATGAGAGTATTTGAATTAGAGCAGTATTTTCACAACCCTTCTCATTGAACTACATATGTGTGTTATCGACCACTCGAGTTTAGGGTCATCTTATATTTCCTTATATAGGTTTAAACATTTAGACCACTGACATGAGATCCTGATTTACTTAGGATTTATGCACCTTGTCTTATGCTGAGTGCTAGGGGCTCAAAACTGAGCATAGTCTTAGCATTATGGTTTGCTTATTGCACACCAAAAAAAAAAAAGAAAAGAAAAGAAAAAAAGGGACTCGGTGAATAAATGTTCGTTCTTCAAAACAATGTATTGGCTAGTCTAAATTTTTCTGTATGAGAAAGTCATGTTTTGTCCTGTTATGTATTTTGAGGTCTAACCAGTTTTCCTCTGCTGCTCTAAGTGCTTACAGTCGGGGGCAGCAGAGCTTTGTCCTGCCTGCCACTCCCATGATGACTGAAGGCAGGGATCAAACTGTCCCAGTGCTTGCCCCCTGATGCAGATCATTAGACCTTGAACAGCTGCTCAAGTCCATTAAAAGTCACTTAAGCAGCAGGTAAGGGAAGCTGTGTGAATTAAAGGTGGGGCTGAGAGCTGGGATTGGGGAGAGCTCAGCTGCCAGAGCCTGGCATCTATATTGTGTCAAATTTGGGGACAATTAAAAAATCATGGAGAGGTTATTTATTAGTTGTCACATATATATGGTAGGTGGACTATGTTTTGCCACAAGTTTTGCCCAAAAATGCTATATCAGTCTTACTTTTTTTTTTTTTCCTGGCAACACTTATGATTAAATATTTAAATAATTCTCAAGTTAGTCAAGGCATATTCATCCTTGCATGTACTGAAAAATGCCTTACAGATCTGTGTATATGCCTCTTAAATCTCAGCTGCTAGTTGACTGGTCTTCCGTCTTGGAAACCCTTCCATTTTCTAAAAAGCAAAGAAAAGTAAAATAAGTAAGTGGGTAGAGCAGATGCAGCTTAAAACCTCCAAATTATTCCAGGACTCGAGCTTCTTCAAGGCTCTATTTTAAGATTTGGTACTTTTTTAAATATTTGTTTTAACAGGAGTTTTAGAGGATTGAAAATACTTTATTGATGGAAAGTGGGAGCCGTTACTCCCTCCCACCTCCTCGGCTCAGCAAAACTAAAAAAGAAAGCAAGTCCATTCAATTCCCAAGCAGATCTTTAAAATGTTAACATCAAATGGGAAGACATTATTCCTAAGCGAGAAAAAAGCAAAAACAAAACCAAACCTTTGTATCCCTGTAAGTTTTCCACCATTTCCCGCTTTGATTTGTGTATGAGTCTTTAATTCATACTATTGAGGAATCGCCTTCAAATGGTTTTTCACAACAATAAAAGAAGAAAAGGGAGAGGAAAAAGCAAGTGGGATGAGATGTCAGTATCCCCACCTAAATACGGGGTCCTGTTAGCTGCTTCTTGGTGGCTAATTGGGAATTATACCGTGTGCGGTGTACTTGTCATGATTCCAAGCACAGCCAACTATCTCTAAAACAGTAACTGTTAAATAACATGCATCATTTAGCGTTCTCCATGTTCTTCTGCTAACAGAGCTGGCAGAATCGGCCATATGACTTGTCTCCTAGGTCATCATCCAGGGATAAAGGGAAGGTTAAGCTGAGGAGGCTCTGGCATGCAGGCGTTCGTTTCCCTGGCGATGAGGCTGCGCCCCGCACAGTTAGTTGTCAGTGCGGTGGTGGCGGCCACACCTGGCAGTGACTACAGTGCATCTCCTGTGAGCAGGGCTGTGGCTCACTCTCTTGGAGCGGCTCTGTGCAGCGGCGGCGGCAGGAGAGGGAGCCCAGACGCTCTGGGTGGCGGAGGCTGGACATCGCCGTGTCGGTGCTGCATTCGGAAAAGCCCGGCCGCAGCCGGCGGCGTGTGAAGTTCCCGGCAGGCACTCGCCGGGCTGCTCCTCACCCTCAGTTGTGGGTGAGCCGGGGCGCTCGTCAACACACGGAGGAGAGATCCCATTTTGCTCTCGCAGAGAAGGGGATGAGACATGAGCAATGAGAAGAGTGACGGGCAGTTCCTTGCCAGCAGCTAAGTTGTAAAATTGCTTTGGAGGCTGCCCGGGGAGCGCGGCAGAATTGACAAGAAAAGAACCGACACCGTTGCAGACCAAGGCATGCCTGACTGCACATGAGTCGGATCACCGGGACGCAGCCTCCGCTCCTGCTCTATTTGTGGCAGGATAAAGGAAAGGAGACTAGAAACCCAATTCCAAGTGGCATCCCTGAAAGGAAAACATATACGCTCCAAAAGGTGGGGAGTGTACAACCCAGCTGGAGTGTACATTTTTTTTTTTTTTAAAGGAGAATCCCTCAGGTATGTTCTCTTCCCCTGTATGCACTGCCCTCATCTGCATGTGATTTTGTGTCTGTCTCTTCTTATTGATTCTTTTTGTTTGGACTTTGAATCACAACCATGGGGTTCTTGGAATGTAGCAGATGCGTTTGTAGAAGCTCAGCTCTTCTGTTTATAACTGATTCTATTGAGGATCACGGACTTCTCAGTCTTTTTTTTTTAATACAGAATGATCAGATTGCTTAGTTTCCAGTCAACTTTCAGGAGAATATCTGCATAGGGACAAACAGTGTTGGGATGAAAGACTGGGGTATTTCTTAATCCCTTAGAATTTTGGAGGAAAAAATTAGAACTCAACAGAGAACAAAAGTTGAGGGCTTCTAGGAAAGGGTTAAAAGCAAAGATGTCATTGACTAGGGTTGTCACCCAAGTGTTTTTCCAGCTTGCCATCCAGTCTGAAGTAAATTGAGCTTTACCAATGGTTTTTCATTTCCAGCTCTTGATCAGTCCTTCAGGAGGCAGATGCTGCAGATTTACTTTCGAGAGATGAATTGCATTCACTGTGTGCCTGGTTCTGTTTTACTACAGTGTGCTGAAGGTGGCAGTCTAAAAAAATTCCTTTGATCCAACAGTATGAGTAAACCCTAACTTCTGCAATTACATCATCAATATACTTGTATAATAACGAGAAAGACAGATATGTAACAATAGTAGAGTTGGCTTCCTTTAGTACCTAGGCTGAGATGACAAAGCTTAAAATCAATTTTCCTTGTTAGGTTTTTAAAGAGAAAAATGAAAGGTGTGGGCGGTAACACACATAAAGATGAGTTTTTAAAAATATTCTGTGTTTCATTAAGCTAAGGATGTAAGTTTGTATAATTTTGGAACTAATAATAAATTTAATGCTTTTTAGAAAAGAATCTTGTCACTTTTTTTTACCTTTCGATACTTAATTCTCATAAACGTGGGTAACATTGTCATATTAAACACATATATTTATATTAAGTGAACTTTTCAGGATGGGAGAAACAAGAAAATGAGAAAGTGTACTACATTTTTGTATATGTAAAATATTTTATAGATTTTTTTTAGTATTGTGCTAACACAAAGAGTTAATACCAAAGCTCTAGGACCCTGATTTTTATTGTACATCCTACCTTCTTCTGATTTAGAAGTCTGAATGGAATAGAGGTAAATGGGGCTTAAATGTGTTTTTGAATATCAGACACTTTTGGTATGATAATATCTTTTTCCCAATGCTCCAGGCACTTTCATTTCTATTGACCTTTTCAGCTATTGTAATGCATAAACCTGCCTTGACTTCTCTGAGGCATTATGCCACCTGTACATTGTCTTCCAGTTTTAACACCATAAGCTTCGGTTATTCCTTCTATCCCATAGTCTTTAACAGAAGAACTTTCTCTAGAATTAGTGAAGACATTGGAATCACCTTGCTACCTGAGAAAAACATTCCTGTTTTTCAGCTAGAAATTTTAGGATATTTAAATACATGCCAAATTTATTTCTAAAATATACTTTTACAGGTAGAAATCAACTTTATAACTATGTCATAGTTTATACTTAATATTAACTTATTTAGTAATGTTCACTTAGAATAATATCACTCAAGCATAATTACAGATTCAGAATATGAAATTCATTCCATCTTCATTTCCAACAACAAATTTCTGTTGGCCCAAGTTAGGATATAACATATTTTGGATATTTGTTATTGCTCCTTTCTGGATCTTGTCTGTGGATGTATCACTAGACTCTAATTTTCTTCCAGCTTAAAAAAAGGATTTATTAATAGCTCTCTCATTCTGTAGTCTTTGAGCTTCAAATGACTGAGCAGCAGTTCTGTAATCTCTCCAGAGGTAATGGATGCCACAGCAGTGTCTGCTTCACTTGTAATCTTTTAAGACATAGTTAGAAAGACAGGAGTAAGTATTCTCAACTAGAGTTTAGAGTAAAATGCCTGTTCGAGGAGAGGTAGACATGAATCTTTTCTCATTCTCTTGTAAAAATGGATTTGATGTAAGAGGCATAAATATTCCTACCTCTTGCATTTCCTACTTATATAATTTAGCCTCAGCATACAGAAATTTTTTATAATCTAGATATGAGAAAGAGTTTTATATTACTCTTCCTTACATAGAGAGTTAAGAAAATATTTTGTAGAAATAAATGCTGGATGAGAGACGTGGTTGTGTTCAGGATTTTCCAAGTATTTTTTAAAAGTAATCATAAAAGATGTGCTTCCCTTTCAAATATTTTCTTGTCTCTCTTATAGTTTTACAATCCCATCTTCAGCCTGTCTTCATTTCCAACAACAAATTTCTGTTGGCCCAAGTTAGGATATAACATACTTTGTTTCTAAGCATTCTGGTTCTTGGGAATCTGGGTACAATATGTCTTTTTGATAGGAAGAAGGTGTTTTGCATGAAAATATTTTGCTTTCTGTGTTTTATAAGTTGAAATAACATACTCTATAAATAGCTTTTTCAGACATATAAAACATAAGAAAAAAGAAAAGAAAAAAGAACAGTAGTTGGAGAGGGGTGTCTACATCTATTTTACAGGTAGGAAGAATTAATAACTTAGGTACAATCACTGAGGCACACTTCTGAGAGGGGGCACTGCTAACATGGTCCCGGAACAACTGGAGGAAAAAAGATTGCATTTTGAATCATGACATTGCTAAGTAGCATATAACTGAAAAAAACCTAAATAGTTGCTTTGTTTATTGATGAGAAATCATATGTAAAAATTGCCAGTGAGATAAAGCTAGACAATGAATGGTACATTCCAATAATAGTAGAGTGCTTTTTGCTATCTTTTAGAAAATAACATAATTAATCAAATCCTGACTCAGTCTCCAACTGGCTGGCTAAACTTGGGTTGTCATTTTCCCTTGCAAGCAGATTGTCTGAAAGACTGGTTAGATACTTAAAAAGATTCCTTCTAGGTATCCCACTAGCACACTCTACAAAAACTACATTATGCAGACTCTGTAAGGTTGACTCTATTTGAAATGTAACTACAGAATTACTTGACTCTGACTTTCTTCTCCTGAGAGGCTAGAGGTTTGTAAATAGCATTTGCCTGCCTGATAAACTGAAGAAACAGTATTTATCCTTTTAGAATTGAGTAGGAAATTTGTCAATTTGTTTTTCTTCAGACAACTAGGCAAAAGTCATGGTTTAATTATAATCCATGTAACTGTGTATTTTGATTAAGTCCTGTACTGTGACTCATAAAATATTTGCTTTGGCTTTGATAAATGTTGAAATATTGCCATTTTGTTAACAAGAAACAAATGACGTTAGGGTATTTAGCTGCTAACTTTTTGAGAGTCATTTATAGAACAGTGCTTTTAAAAATAAAATATATGTACATACTCTCATTAGTCGTTGGAATAGATTTGCTCTCTTTCTCCCCAGCTGTCTTCTTCTTTGATAGTCGCACTCAATGAGAATATTCTAGAAAGGAGAGGATTGCAGGGCTCTCTCATGGCTTATGGGGCAAACTTAACTAGGAAGCGTCTCAACCCTGAAGAAAATTTATATTTCCTTTTTAATTTTAAAGAAAGTAGATTGGCAGGAAGCAAATTATAGATAATTTTATGTATGTAAAATTAAAATTTGATTCATTGCTTTTTAGAAAGTAATCCATAAGATTAAAAGATCGTGCCTAATTATACAACAATGGACCACAATATCACTGGAGGGTAGTTGAAAAACATATTTTTAAAAAATAGTAAATGATAAGAAACATTCTTGATAACTAAATACAGCAAATTAAAATAAATGCCTTCTTTAATTGCTGTCTTCCTCCATTTAGCCTTGAGTGGGAGTACTCTCTGCTCCTCTCTGTCTACTCTTTGTCTTGGTGACTTGAATTTTGTTAGTAGCCTATCTTCCTCTTTGAGAGGATTTCCTCTAACATGTCTCACAAAGTCAAAAGAATCAACTCCATCACTTTCCCCCAAACAGCTCCTCTTCCTGATTTCCTCAGTTTCTCAGGCTCAAATCTCAAGTCATCCTCACTGTCTTATTCTTTCACATGATTCATACTCAGTTACTCACTTTCTTATTTTCTTTCTAACATATCTCCAGCTATGTGCCTTCTTTTATCTTCCTATTAGCACTGTCCTAGTTCAAGTCCTTACTACTTTATGCTTAAATACTGTTTGAATCTTCCAATTGTTCTGTTATGAGTCTCTCTTCTAAGTATCTGTTCTGCATACTACTGCCAGATTCATTGTCCTGAAAAATGCTTTGAACATGACACAAGTCACTCCCTGCTCAAAAACTTTCAAGGACACTATATTGTATATAAAAATAAAGCCTGGCAAAAAATAGGGTGGCAAAAAATAACTTTTACAACCAGATCTCAGCCTGCCTTTCCAGTTTGCCTTTTTATAGTTCTAATTACTACCCCAATTAAACATATTACTCAGTTATCAAATACTGACATTTTATACAATTCCATAGTACTAAATTATTTGTCCAATTCATTTACTAAGGCATCATACACTTTCTCATGAGAGTTCTCTTTTGGTCTTGAACTACAGTTTGAACCTTTATTTTTGCATGTTACTTCATTTTTAAAGTTTTAGCTGGACTATAAACCCCTTAAGTACTGTGTCTGTGCAAACTTTGGCAAGTTAATTAAAGCCAGAAAATAATGAGACCACAAAGATTATTGCTTCATAGAGTTTTCATGATAATTAAATAAAATAATATACAATAAGTGCTCAGTGAATACTGGCTATACATTTCTCATTATCTCTATAAAGAAGATAGGTGCTCAGTAATACTATTTGCTGTTATATTTAGTATAAATTTTATAATATTATCATTTAGAAAAAAAAGACTGATAAGGGAAGGAGAGAGTCTGCTGTACAAAATAAGCTATAACAAAAACAATTAAAATAAGAAGGAAAACTGAAATTTGTACTGTCCTAAGATGTTAATGACCTCAGCAACTACATTTAGGACAAACTGGAATAGTTTCAG